CCTCCTCCTCCCTCCCTCCCTCCCTCCTCCCCCCCCCCCCCACCCCCACCCCTCCTCCTCCCTCTTCGTCCCTCCCTCACCCCATTCTCCTCCTCCCTTCCTCCCCTCTCCCTCCTCCCACGCACCCTGACGGCAGGTGTCGGTTGGTCAGCCCGTTGTCAAGAGAGATGGAGCCGCCATGAGCCTGCTGAGGACGTCAGGCGACAGGAGCAGCTCTCGCCCTCCCAGCACGCTCACATGCCCCGCGTTCTCCTCCTCCTCCATCCTGTGCACGTGGTTGCCCCGCGCTCCCTGTAGTGCCGGGAGCATGGCGTACGCGGTGATGTGCGTCAGCTTCGCGTCTCCCTGCTTGCCTCATCTCAGAGTCTCGAGAGCATCACAGCCAAGGCCCCACATGTCTTGTCTTGTCCGCGCTCGCTCGCACGTTCCATCGATCGCCCGCGAGGTAACGAGAGCCTTGGCAGCAGCAAGTGAGCAGCGAGGAAGGAGGGAGAGCAAGGGCACCTGCTACGGGCAGGACATCCGAGACAGACCGGGCGACGTGCCTCCCCTCGTCAAGGTTCGAGAAGAACTCATCGTACCTCGACTCTTTCGCCTGGACCAACCAACGTTCAAGGCAGTCAGCAGAACATCCGTCCTCACCTGCACTCCCTGCCCCTTGGAGCGCCAGCCCTGCTGCCTAGGATGAAACATCCTTCTCACCTCCAGGCACACAACGCGAGCTTGAGATGCATCGGCACTGGCTGCATTGGTGGAGGGTCAGAGGTTTCTACACGTCATGCATGCCCTCTCTGATCACTCCCATTCTTGTTATCCTTTCCCTCCTCTCTCGTTCCCTTTTCCCCTCCGTCCCTCCTGATTGTCTCAATTTCCTGCACTTGTTCACTTGCTTTCCCTCTTCCTTTCGTCTCATCTCCTCCCTTCCCTTTTCTTTTCTCTCCCTTTTCTTCTAATCCTCTTCCCGTACACTTTCCTTATCTGCTCGTCATTTGTTCTTTTCCCGTCTTAATTATTTCCTTCCCTGCTGCTGTGCTGTTCTGTTCTGTGCTGTGCTGTTCTGTGCTGTTCTGTGCTGTGCTGTTCTGTGCTGTGCTGTGCTGTTCTGTTCTGTGCTCTCCCCTCCTCTCCCCTCCCCTTCCCTTCGCTTGGTCTCTTTCATCATTTTCGGCCAATCAGCTTTTACTCGTTTACCACTACCCACCCACCATATGTCCTTATTGTACCCTACCTCATCGGTCGAATATTCAACTTGTACCCCCATTTTGATAGTATAAAGTACCCGTACTTCATATACCTTACCCAATGTGTGTGATTTCCCACCCCTACTTTGAACAAAAACAAACCTTGAGCCCACCCACCCTACCTAAATGAGACCTTATTGGTACCCCACCCTACCTTTGTAACAACCTTTAATTGGATTTGAGATGTCTGGTAGGGTTCTTTTGTCACCACCCCACCCCTAGTGTGCAGAGGTCATTCTATGGCCTGATCCGAGATGGTACCGGCCCAATGGCGAAGGTGGGGAAGGAGGAGGAGGAGGAGGAGAAGGAAGACGAGGGCGAGGAGAGGGATGAAGGCAAGGAGGAAGGCAAGACAGAAGAGCAGCTAGTCATGGAGTCATTGGCTGTTAGCTCTAAACAGGATCCTTGTTAGATTCTTCAGACAGGGATGGATAATAATCTGAGAGCATGCGAGCCAGCCAACACGGCTGCACCTCATGACGTTGACATGTTTTACCAGCTTGACGAGCAGGGAGAAATTGAGGAACACGTTCCCTGTGTTGTACAGGAGTTCTGCACCGGTGAAGGTGATCGAATACAGCAATGTCGTAGATCGCAAGAAGAGAAGATACTCGAGGATTCAGGTAGACGTGTCGAAGTCTCGATGTGCCCATGACGGTCGACTGGTATCAGGTGACGGCTTTCATCATGAGCTGCCTGTCGCTGCTCGTGTATGAGACCGACGGCATGTCTGCCATGTCAGAGGTAAAAGGAGAGAAGTGATGAGGAAGGCTGTAAGGTTCGCCATGAGATCGCCTTCGAAGTCTTTCTTCTCTTGTGGAGAGGTATCAATGAGTTTTTCCATGACGAGTTCGATCTTTCCGCTGTCTGGTGATGATCGTGCAACTTGCTTGCCGTGCAAGGTTTCCTGACCGTTCAGCCAGGCACCACGGGGGTTTTCTGCTTGTTTACATGATCTTTCAGTACAACAAGAGATGGCAGAAACAATACAGCGACCTGGCTGTCCACATGCAGGTTGAGTAGATGACGATGTTTGTATCGATTCGTTGACGATGGCCTCCAAGATCTTGCACTTCCCGATGGTGTTGTGGTATTTAGGGGGTGAAGTCGTGAAGGGATGTGAGTGGATGTATTGAGCAAGAGGACAGGAAGGTATCACAGCATCCTCAGCAACGCTTCTCTCAGATCTCTTTGTGTGTTGCTCTTCAGACCCTCGTGGATACTTTCAGGTTCCCCCGCTGTTCCTTTCAGTGAGCTCATCCCAACATCAGTTTCCTTCCGCTTCTCCTCCATGGCGATGGCGACGGTGAACAGCCTAAGGCTGCTGGTGAGCTCCCATGGAGCCTCTTGCGCGCATGTCAAGAAGTTCATGGCATGCAGGACGGACTCATCCTTGCTGCTCTCACCTGCGTCTATTTCCTCTTGGACCTTTACTGGTGAACGAGGCGGGGGATTTCTGATGGGAACAGGAGGAGGGCTGAGCGAGAAGGAAAGCAGGGGCAGGGGCAGGGGAAGGTTGGGGGAAGGAGGGGAGGGAGGGGGAAGAGGGAGGGAGGGAGGGAGGGAGGGAGGGACGATGGTCAGTCCGTTGCAACTGCTCATAGCTAAGAAGGTCGAGCTGCTTCTTCGGGAGGGTCGGACCGAGCCACGTGCCCCTAACTCTGATATCTTCCTCCTGCGGTATCACTTTGCCCTTTCCCGCCTCCTTTCTTTCTTATGCCCCTCCATCCCTCTTCTTATGCCCCTCCATCCCACTCTCTAACTTTTCCCCGCCCCTTTCTGTTACCTCTCTCTCCATCTCCGTCTCCCTCTCCCTCTCCCTCTCCCTCGCTTCCCTTCGCTTTCTTCCTCCCTTAACGTCCTTGACGAGCCCTTCCCCAGGTATTATCCTTGCTATCCTAGCGAGCAAACACAAAAGGTCTCTGCAGAGAAGCTCGAGCTGAGCAGCTCCGATGGTGATCTGAACTTGTGCTCGGACTTTCCTGGCGTTGGGACGTGTCCCCTTGCCCTCCACATCCGGACTGCGGGCTCGAAGGAGTGGACAGGAGGAGGAGTGAGGGAAGAGCAGTGCAAGATGCGGGAGCAGGCGACGGGATCAGTTGAGGAGGGCACATGGCACTTCGGAGTGTCTCAGTCGGGAGGGGTGGCAGGTGCGGGCCCACTAGCAGCTGCTCGCGTTTACCTACACTTGCTTCCCGCTGAGAGTTGTTGCTGGCAGGGATTTAGAGAGGCTGTGGGTGCTCCTTTTACATCTCGGACTATCATTGAAAGTATTCTACGATGAAGTCACAAGTAGGACTATCATTGAAAGTACTCTACGATGAAGTCACAAGTAGGACTATCATTGAAAGTATTCTACGATGAAGTCACAAGTAGGCGAGAACTGTACGCCACGTTCCCACCGTCCCAGCTTCCTCTTCGTTCTGGGTTGTTCTCTCCTCCTCTTCCTCCTTCGTACGTCATGTGCTCGCAAGCCCTGTGCCCTCAGCCTCTCTCGCACCTCCAAGACAACTTCGAGCAGCTCTCCGTGTCCTCCAGCACCGACGACGATCCCTCCGAGTCGCTCATCGACCAGCTCTCAAGCCCCCTCGCGTCCCCTCGGAGCAAGATGAGCGTAGACGACACGTCTGCACAGGACTGCGGAGCTCCTCGACGAGATCAGCAGCGGGAGGGTGGGAGAGGACCGGCCGACATGATCGGTCCATGCCGAGCGAGAGCCGAGCTTAGAGCATTGTATGAAGGTGTGATGTGGTATCGGACAAGGTCTGGTATGTCAGAGTGATCACGTTACGTGCTATGAGATCGCTGAGAAGATTTTGCGCATGCTCCTGACAAGCAGTTGGCTGCTGCCGGTCTGACAGTACTTGACGTTGTTGACAAATCAAACTTGACGCCCCGAAGGCTTCAAGATCAAAAGGATCTTAGAAGCAGAACTTGATCTCAAAATTAGACACTCACGTTGAAAGAAATTGCCGAACACACGGCAGTTTCTCACTCAGCTTTGAATTCACAGCAGCAGCGATTCAATCAATTATATCAATTCATTTACAAACTCATAACGAAACAATCGTCACAACAATTATTGATTACATATTATATCATACCCCGTGCAATACGAAACGCACAGGCTCCACTTGGCTCCTTTGAGTTCGCCCTTTTTCTTCCCCATCACTATCACTATCACTTTCTCTATCTCTGTCTCTGTCTCTGTCTCTATCTCTGTGTCTATCTCTGTCCCTGTTCCTCCCTCCCTCCCCACACCTTCAGCACTCACAGCCTCATCCATTCTCCTGTCGAGCTTCTTATCCAAGGACGATTTTCAGCGCTCAGAAGCTTGATGCAATGCTCTAAGCTCTCAAGCTGCTTCGCTCGGCATGGACCGATCGTGCCGGCCGGTCCTCTCCCACCCTTCCGCTGCTGATCTCGTCGAGGAGCTCCGCAGTCCTGTGCAGACGTGTCGTCTACGCTCATCTTGCTCCGAGGGGACGCGAGGGGGCTTGAGAGCTGGTCGATGAGCGACTCGGAGGGATCGTCGTCGGTGCTGGAGGACACGGAGAGCTGCTCGAAGTTGTCTTGGAGGTGCGAGAGAGGCTGAGGGCACAGGGCTTGCGAGCACATGACGTACGAAGGAGCGAGGGCGGTCAACACTACAAGATACGCGGTGTCGGCACCTACACCGTGCTGGGGTAATTACAAGTGAGGAGCCTACTACCCTGAATTTATGGGACTTGTGGGGGTGGGTCCTCTTTACTATGCTTTACCGCAGGATACGAGATCGCACCTCTCCAGCCCTGCTCCGGCACCGTACCCTCCTTCAGGGGGTGGGTCATACGGGGACTCTTGAGGGGTAGTCGAACCCGTCGGCCTCGATCTGTACGTACGGTCGCAGTGAGATTGAGAGGCGCGCCCGGTCGCACGCCTCAACGGTCACTCTGCTCGTACATTTTTATAGACTTGAGTAAAAGTTTAGTACCAGTGTCATGCTGAATCATGGACCGTCAGACGCAACTTCGGCTAAGTCCGGGTCGGACCGTGACTGAGCGGCCGCCAGCACCGCGACGCCGACCGTACACTACGGTAGTACCGTCGGTACTACGGGCACGGTAGTGCAACTAACGGGTGGGCCGGCCCGATACTCCGAGTCAGGCGTGCCACCGGGTGACCCGGCGTCAGCGGCCCGCCCGGCCGGCGGCGGGCTCGGCCCGCGGACCGGCGGCCGGTCCGCCGGGTCACGGCCCGGCCGCCCGCCATTCTGGGGTCTTTCGTGGAAGTCACAAATCGACGATATTTGTATTTCGTTTCTCAGGGGAGGGGTGGATACCGACCCCCCCGTTTTTGCGGGGTATTAAGCTGGTTTTCGGTCGGTGGGGGTCACCTCGAACTTGAGCTAGCACTGGGTAAGTCGAAAAGACTCCTCTTGGATTACCGTTACGATTCAATTTGAAGTAACGAGTGGTCAAATAGTACCCCACCCCACATCTTACATTCCATGAAGGGGGTCCTGAGCCCAAATTTCGAATCATTGTTATTTGACCTGAATCACTACCCCCTACCCCCAATCCAAATGAAATCGCTGGAAAAAATAAGGTAGAGGTGGTCTTATTCCTCTACTCCACAGGGCGACACCACAGGCCAGGGCAAGAGGCGATGGGGAAGGCACCTTACCAACGCGCTAGATACGATTATGCAAGCTTAGAGACTTCGAATCTTGATGTAGTCTAACATGATTGAAAGCAGAACTATGAAAGTGTTGCCATCTGGCATGCATGCCTCGATTTACGGACAGCCGATATCCCTCACTCTGGTGATAAAACCATTCAGCGTGTGGTTGATACAAAATTACGTTGCAAAGGCGTGCTGCAACTTGCTGCATTGCTTGATAGAACATATGCGTTCGACTCGATGACGATAGAGCGATTCAAAACCATCATGATTCTGTGGATAGTTCGACAGATTGATCACTTCTTGGATACACAGCAGAGCTGGCTTTTCGCATCCTTGTTCAAAATCCTTGTTCAAATCAGTTTCCCACAGAGCGGCCTTTAGGTAAGATAGCCCTACAGCTTGCCTCATCGGACTATCGCTTTCTTCCGAAGTCCAGGCTCTTCATGCCCCGCATGAACTTAATGCCGACGTCGTGTTGGGCGACACTTCAAGTTTCACATGGATACGCCATGTTCTCGCCAAAGTGCTAATGAAGACTTGCAAATGCTTTGCGATGTTTCATCTGGTTCATTCTTACTGAAATATACCACCTTGAAGTGTGCTTGTGCTTGTGTTGTTCTACATCTGCACCATGCGCTTGCAGCACTGGATTGAATTGAATACATCAACTGTCATTTCTCATGTCTACACCTGAGTGTATGCATGCGTGCATATCATGGAAAGAAACATGTCATCTTACGATTTCCAAATAGTGATGCATGTTAGCGTTGTAAATGCTAATGCTAAACATCACTGGTTTTGCTTGTCAATGACAACTTGAGCAAATCACAAGAGGTTTTCACAATTACAAGAAGCATGCATACATGATGCGGTTGACTTTACAAGAAATTCACACAAACATTTGTTGGTTCATTTCTGTGCATGTCTCCTTTATGTATGGAACGCATCATTAGGACTCTAAGCTTACGGTTGAACATGACTGCAATGAAAGAAACCTTAATGAAGTGCGCATGTTAATCACGGTATGCTGAAAGGAAAAAAAATGTTTACGTGTATGAGATTGCTCTCAATCACAGCGTCAACTTTGTGAACATTCCATGGATTCATATTGCTCTTTTTATCATTATAATGTTGAATTGAATAATGCTCACTGTCATGCATAGTGAAACCCTCGACTTCAAAATGTCACAACCATCGAAGGTGTTGGAGCTTTGAATCATCGAATATTTCCATGCTTTCTGTTCTTTGTCACTGTCCGAAAATAAGCCTGAGACTATTCATATCAGCATTTTAACCCATTGCAGCAAGAAAATTCCAAGGCTGTCGATCACTGTTGCATTCGTCGCTCCTAGTTTCCATCAAACGACGAAACAAACCTTCTCCCGGTAGATCTACTGGCAAAGTGCCATGTAGGGCTTGACAATGGTCTTGCATGGCACGGTACGAAGAGCTTCCTTGTCAAGATGCGCCATGTTGCAGTTATCTGTAACTCAACCTTGCACAGGCCGTGAGCGTGTGTAAGGCATGAAACTCAGGAGGAAATACATTTCGGAGGAGAGCAGAGAGATCCAGAAGCGTTGTGACTGAGGGAGCTGAAGAATGGAGAGCGAAGAGTACAACTTGCAAGGGCAGGCAAGGCCCGAGGGAGGAGGGGCAGCTCAGGGGGAAGCGTGGAAAGGGGGGGAAGGCGTGTGCCCCGGCTTCAAAATTTAAAAAGCCATTAATAAACAGGATCATGGACATGAACCTGAAATATTACTAATTAGATTTCAGGTATAGCTGAAAATCGACGTATGACCCCCCTTTCCGCACCCACCACCCTCCAGACTACAACTTCCACAAAAGACCCCAGAATGCGCCGTCACAGTGACCCGGGCCGGCCGCCCGGCCGCGGGCAGCGCCCCGCGGCCGGGGCGGCCCTGAGAACTCACAGCGGCGGTCACCGTCACAGTGAGTGTAACTTGGACCTCATTTGTCGCGACTATCTGCATCCCCCGCCGCATTCACATTGAATCATTGAATGATTGTTCCTGCAGCGGCGCGGCGGGGCCCGGCGGGCGCCCCGGCCCCGCCGCCCGGCCTGATCGGCCCGGCCGGGGCCGATCCGCCGCCGGTCTGGGCCGGTCCGATCACATCGCCCCGCGATCCGATGATCGCTCGGCTCAGAGTCAGCGGCCCGCCCTCGGACCCCCGGGCCGCGGCCGCGGTACCGTACAAGGCTGACTCGAAACTTGCCAAGTTGTGCTCCGTCGCGGGCCCACTTCACTATCAGTCGGACTCCCGATGACCGTAAACTTGTGACAGCGATGAGACTAACCCCAGGCTTATACTGGCCAAGCCTCTGCGGTGTCCGACTGAGGCGAGGCCCGGGCCCGGGCCCCACTCACTGAGTCAGTGAAACTTCACGGTCCGAGTCACTGTCACACAGAGCCTCGGAGTGGCACTGTCACTGCCGTCGCCGCCGCTGCCGCAAGAGTTGTGTTTTCTCCCCCTAATTGCTGAGCTAAATGAATATTGCTGCCCTCGATCAGTGCTTGGTGACGCAATGCTATGCGCTAACTGAATCAAAGGCGGAAAATACCTGGAGAGAGCAGAGAAGAACAAGAGAACAAGAGAACAGCAGAAGAGGTATTCTGCACTAGAGAAACGAGAGCGAACGGCATGGGCTTGAAAGCAACGGAGTCCTACAGGACAGCAGACGATCTTCATCGTGATGGAGACTTGCCCCGAGCATCGAGAGGATGGCTGGGAAGCGTGTCCTCCTTCATCGAGGAGATCCGAGACAACGGATTCGATCGAGTCTCGCTCTGCTTCGTGCGCATGTCGAGGAACGGGAGGGAGATCGCGGAGGAATACCTCCAGCCGTGAGCGAATGGAGTCGAGCTAGGAGGGAGCTGACTGCCATGACCGACAGGTTCTCCCGTGGGCTTGCGAGCGGGTCGAGGAAGCACATCCTGATAGTAAGTGGTGGAAGGCGAGCGGGAGAGCTCGAGGTTGATACTGCTCCTTCCTCCAGTTGCTCCTCCTCGTCCTGCTGGGATTTGTGCTGGTGCACTGGATTGTTCTCAAGGACTCTAACCTGAACGCGAATCTCGTTCCTGCCCCTGCGCTCTGTGCGAGTCAGGTAAGGGACGGTGAGAGCTGGTGGGAGGTTGACGGTGTTAGGATGACCTCTACGACACCGCGTCCCACCTCTGCAGAGTCGGGAACAAGTATGCGTTCTGGTTCTTGAAGAGGAAGGACTGGGTTCAGGTACCCTTCGCCGAATCTGAGGCCACTTGTGATGGAGTGTGCAGTGTGCGCCAAACCTTCCTGGCTACAAGTTGCTGCAGAGGAACGCGGACATGAACGGGAACTTCTGGTACTCGTACAAGCAGTCTGCACAGGTGGTGCTGTGACGGGTCTCGTGTGGTTGCTGATGGTGATGACGGCAGATCAAACAGTTCTACGACACTTGCATCCCCGAATGCGCCACGGACGAAGACGTGTACGACTCGAAGAGAGACCTATGCAGGGTAACATGAGCACAAGTTTGGCCTCCCCCCCCCCTGATGACGTTTGGCAAGGTTACTGACGGGGTACTGGTGACCTGGTTGAACGGCGATGGGCAGAAATGTGCTACTGGCACGAAGGGGGAGCGAGCGATCAGGACGGCGACGGTGAAGAATGAATTGCTGCAATGAATGATCCTGTTTGCACCTTGAACACGAACTTTTTGCTGTTTGCTCCTTGGTTGCATGCTCTCTGTCTCAGGCTGTGTTTATTGTTGAGAACTGGCCATGTGACATTTCCATCCCTTCCTGCCCTTCCCTTGCTTGCCTTCTGCTCAACTTGTGCCAGGCGTCTCTCTCGCATGCCAACGGCTACTTCTATGCTCCTGATGCCTCGGGCAAAGTGAGGAGGCTGCTGGAATCTTGTCACTCGTCTTGCGCCAAGGGAGACGTTCTTTTGCATGATAAACGGCACTGTCAGGTGAGAGGAGGAGAGGAGAGCAGATAGAGAAGAAGAGAGGAGACAAGAACAGGGATAGTTGGTGGAGGGGAAGGGAAGGAAGCGAGGAGACGATGGGTGGAGGAGAGGGGGGCGAGGGACAGCGGTGAGGAGTGCAGGATAGCAGGAGAGGAAGCGGAACGGTGGAATCTGATGCTGACTTCTCACAGGTGATGAACAGCCTCGCTCTCAGGTTCATCTCCACGGGGGTTGGAACGTGCGATCGAAATTTGCAAGCGAGGAGGATGATTTCAACCATGGGCACGACAAGAGATGTGCAGGTCTTCGTCTACCTCCTTCTCGACCTCGCCCTCGTCTCAATCTCTCCTGTTCATGACCACCTCCTCCCTCTTTTCACCCCCTTCTTCTTCATTCCTTCTCCTCCCTCTTTTCACCCCCTTCTTCTTCATTCCTTCTCCTTCCTCTTTTCACCCCCTTCTTCTTCATTCCTTCTCCTTCCTCTTTTCACCCCCTTCTTCTTCATTCCTTCTCCTCCCTCTTTTCACCCCCTTCTTCTTCATTCCTTCTCCTTCCTCTTTTCACCCCCTTCTTCTTCATTCCTTCTCTCGTTCACCTTCCAGGAACTCTCCCCACACTCCCCCCCGCCCTCTCTCACGCTGTTCCCCTCGCTCTGCTGCTGCGCATCCCTTCCATCGTCGCCGTTGTCCCTTTCCTCTCCTCTACTAAACTCACGTTGCGTGTAGGGAGCGTACATGTACCCCAAAGAGCTCGGCAACGCCATCGAGCAATTTTACTTGAGTTGTATGCAAGGTTGGAATCGCAAGGGACGGGCAGGTAAAGCCTTCTGCACCTCTCCTCTCTCCTTCTCCTCCCTCCCTCTCCTCCTCCTATCCTCCTCCCTTCTTCCTCCTCCTCCTCACCCAGCACCTGCTCTTCCTCCTTCGCCTGCTTGTTCACTCCTCGCATCCCCTGCTCTCTCTCGTCTCAACCGGCGCCAGGCATCCGCACTATCCCGCACAGCTCGGAGACTGTGGGAGGGAAACCTCTGCGAGACGACGCGAAGCAGCGGAGACAAGCTAGGGTAGGACGCGAGCATGGGAGGTGATGCGCTGACAGTGTAAGCAGAACGAGAGGAGGTGGGAAGAAGCTGTTCTGCAGAGCGACTACAACTGAGAGAGGACAGGGCGGGAGCATACGAAGCAACAATCTTACAAGAAACAAACACAAGAGAAGAACTCACCATCAACTATCTTACGAGAAACAAACACAAGAGAAGAACTCACCATCACTTCTCATCCGCGTCCTGTCCTCCTTCGCTCTCGTTGGCCCTCTCCTCGTCCTCCTCCTCATGCTCAAGTCACCTCCTCCAGCTCTTCTTCTCCTCCCCTTCCTCTTCCTCCTACAGTACTCCATCCTCCTCCCCCCTCCCCCCCCTCGTGAAGTGGGTCCCTGCGCTCCCATTTTTGAGTCGCTTTTCCCTACTGCGCCCCCTACTGAATTTGCGCTTTTCCCCTCTTGCTACCCTGAGCATCCTCTTCCGCATCTCCCGGCCCCGCTGCAGATAGA